ATAGTGGCTCATGCATGTAATCTTGACTACTTCTGAGGCAGAGATGAAGAGGATCATGATTTTGAGGACACCTCAGGCCAAAAAAAAAGTGTTAATGGAACCATCATCTCAGTCAGTAAGCCAGGTATTGTTAAGAGGTTAAGGTTGGTAGATACGACGCAACTATCTGCTCTTTTCACTCGAAGAAGGAGACAAGTCAAGGTAATTAAGGAGAGACTATATTCTGGAGAGAGAAAGCGCTTCGGAACAAAGCACACAGGGTTGTAAGGTGAAGACTGGCAGGTTTTGAAGGTGAAGGTTTGGCACGGATCCACCCCCCGACCCCCAACCCCTTAGAAATGCCCCCCTTTCGTGGTTAACACTTCAGTTCTTGTGGACCCCTGTGTCTGCATCCTGCAAAGTGGAGAAGGGGAGTAGCCGGCTCAAACTAGTTCTGAAGGCATGTGCCGCTCGCTGTAGCCCACCTGGCACCCTTCCTAACCTTTTAAGTGTTTTTCCCTACTTACGACTGCACGAATATTATTTGCCTCTCATGTATATACACTTAAGAGTGAATTACGGGGAGGGGCATGCGCAGTCAGAAATCAGTGCTACAGCATCTGGCTGTCAATCAAATCTGCTAATCACCCTAACACCACCCACAGAACCGCCCAGGTTTCTCCCACCAGCCTGGCGCAAACCACATAAAAGCCAAGTAAGATCCCACAGGACCGTACTCTCCGGCTGTGCAGGTCCAGACGACCATTTGTCTCCTGCAGGAGTTACTTTCACGTTCAGCCCTCCTTTGCCCCACACTCCCTTTTTCTCCGATCAATCCCAATTCCAGACAAGAGCCTGACGCCACCCCCAGATTGCCGGTAACAAAAGTAACAAAAATCACATGCATCAGAGAAAATCTCCATAATGTCCAAAGTCCAACTCAAAGTCAGAGGATCATGTTCCAGGCCCTGTTAAGTACAAAGTGACCCTATCACAAATTAACCAAAGCATATATATTTAGAATTATATCTTCTTGCTGTATTGTTCCCTTTATTAGTATGTAGTTACCTTCTTTATCTCTTCTGACTGATTTTTACGTAAATTTTTTTTGCCTAATGTGAGAATAGCTACTTCTGCTTGCTTTCAATTTCCTCTTGCCTGGTATATCTTTTTCCAATCTTTCTACTTTTAGTTTATGTGTCTTTGGTTGTGAGGTATGTTTCTTGCAGATAACAAATTGTTGGAATGTTACATAAAAGCAAAAAAGTGACCTATCTTTTTCTATGCCTTACTCAAAGTTTCAGAACTTCTTACATATTTAAGTAGTTCTCACACTCATATTTGTAATGACATAGTGATGTTTATACCTAATGCTGCGGTGGACAACTTTGTTAGGTTGTCCCAGGAAAAATACTGATGATGTTTCTTTAAATCTCCAAAATTATCTGTGCTTGAAAGACTATATGGCCTTAAAACTGCATGGCATTTTTCAGGAAGAGTCTATGTATTTAAAATATGATAAACCAAGACATCTGATGATATTCAGTTGTTATCCTAAGAAACATACTTTTTTTGTCCTGTAATCTGTTGGTAAACAGAAATGTGTAATTTTAAAACAATGAAAATGTGAAAAATCCTAGACAAATCAGAAACATTAAGTGGGATGTATTGACAAATGTCTATAGTACTACTGGAAAAGGAAGAATATTTGAGGAATAACCCAGGAGTTGAGGATCATCCTAGGCTACATAGCAAGACATAAGAAAAACAAACAAAAATAACATTGGTTATTGTGGCACATGACTATCCTTTGGGAGACTGAGGTGGGCAGGAGGGTGGTAAGTTGGTGGTCAGTCTGAGTTTGAGGCCAAAAGTCTGTGCTACATATTAAGAACCTATCTCACACAAAAAACCCTTGTTTTTATTCTATAAATATAAGTGAGGCAGGCAATAGCTCTCCTTTGTACTAAGTATTGCAGGATGTGCTAAATATTTAAAGTAACTAATTTCTCTATGTTTCCATTATGCGTTTTAATTGGAGAAAAGGATCAGGAATAAACTTGAATAGGTATAAGGCTTGAAAGAAGATATTTATTTGACTTTAATAATGCACTTATAACTATAATTCTAAACATGCCTGAACTAACCAGCAGACTAGAAAAAAGTGTCATTATTTTAAAGGGCTTAATATCTACAATAAATAAAGCAATTAAACTGATTTTTGCCAATCATAAATTGACCCAACTTAAGCTCCAAGTAGGCTGGGTGTGGAACAACATGGTTGTAATCCCATTACTCAATAGGAAGAAGCAGTTTGAACAAGCTTGGATTCCATATGAGAGCCAGTTAAGAGAAGAAAAGCAGCAGAAATTATTTGAAGATCTATTACAAGCAAGGCACCAGTCTCCTTGTATAGAAAATGTGCTTGATTCCAGTTTCCCTTATGAAGATTTGTGGTAAGGCTTATGTTATCTATATTTAACTGCCATGTTAGAGACAAATCACTAAAAAAGACAATAAACGTTTTAATTAGGAATGAAAATTAGACTTAACAGACTAGACCAAGGATTAGAGTGGTTACATGATAGAAGGAAAGGGTTACAAGTACAGACTCACAAAGGATAAGCCATATTAAGATGACAGCAAACTGGCTTTATAGAGTAAGGAAGAATTGGAGCCGTGTTTCACACTCAGCTTATCACAGAGCTACGTCTTGTAAGCATGGAAAAATTTTTATAGAGGATTGGCTAAAGATGGTTGATTATATTATATGTGGCTTGCTTATATTTCTCACTTAGAATTAGGTTATATTACATACATTTCTCACTTAATAAGTGAGAAACATTGTGCAATAAAGACCTTAGTTATGGAACTGCAACACAGCCTGAAGACTGACTTTGTTTTCCCTGCTAATAATAGAAATAGGTAAATAAACCCTTGGTTTGATAAATGAGAAAATGAAAGCAAGGAAGAATAAGAAATGAAATGCAAGTACAAGGTGATACACTGAGACCTACTTTCAGTTCTGTGCATGTGGAAATCTAATTTTCTCAGCACCATTTGTTGAAAAAGCTGTCTTTTCTCCCAGGCCAATTTTTGGCTCCTTTATTGAAAAGCGTATGGCTACAGTTGCATGAGTTTGTGTCGTGATCTACTATTCTATTCTGTTTGTCTGTATGTCTGTTTATGTGCCAGTACAATGCTATTTTAATTCTGTGTTTCTAGGGCATGTTTGGAAGTCAGGTATTGTGATACCACCTTCCAACATTGTTCTTTTGGCTCAGGATTTCTTTGGATATTTGAACCTTTTGTGTTTCCATATGTGCTTTAGGATTGGCTTTTCTTTCTCGGTGAAGAATGTCATTGAAATTTTGATAGGGATGCTTTGAACATATAGATTGTGTTTGGTAGAATAGCCATTGTCACAATATTGATTCTGCTGATCCATGACCATGGGATGTCCTTCCACCTTCTAAAGTCTTCATTGATTTCTTTCTTTAGTGACTTGCAATTTTCAAAGAATAGGACAGTCAACTCATTTGTGTTAAATTTATTCCTAGGTATTTTAATTGTTTGAAACTATTATGGGTGATATTCTTTTCCTGATTTCTTTCTCAGACTGTTTAGTGTGTGTGTGTGTGTGTGTCTGTGTGTGTGTCTGTGTCTGTGTATGGAAATGCTACTTATTTTTGAGTATTGATTTTTTTTCCTAGTACTTGCTGAGCCAGCATCAATTCAAAGTAAATTGCAGATCTTAATGTAAAACTAAAATAGTGAAATTAATCTGGAAGAATAGGGAACACACTGTACCACACACACACATAGGTAATAACGATGAACAGAGCTCTAGTGGCTCAGAAATTATGAGAAAGGATGAACAAAAGCACTGCATATAACTAAAAATTTTCTGCAAAGCAAGGGAAATGGTCACCAGACTGAAAAGACAGCATACAGAATGGGAACAAATCTTTGCATCTGACAAGGGATTATTTAGAGCATAATGTTTTTCCATCAATAATAACATCACAGAAACTTAAAAGCAGCTATTATAAGGAAGTCACAGAATATATTAATAAAAAATAACTGCTAGATTGATGGTACATTGCTTATCCTATTACTCCTGACTCTGAAGATGACAAACACCTTCTCTTCCCCACTGAGGCACAAGGCATTCATTGATCATACCATTTTCCCCAGCTAAATCAAATGTTACCTTGGAAACCTTCCCAATAAAGACAGTCTTTACACAGGTATTAGAGTTGTTATGAGAGTGAAATTTCATACGTGCCCCACTCCAACCAAAAAGCACTCTTACCTTTGATTTTCTCTCTGTATCTCTGAGGTTTTCAGAAAGAATGATCTTCATAGCAATTATTGAAATAATAACTTGGTAGAACACTCTATCATAAATTAAATTTAATCAAACCCATCTGGCTTTCCTGTTCTTAAAACACAACATGAGACCCTATCTTTTCTTTGACTCTTCGTAGGACACAATTGTTCATAAACATAAAAGAGATAGTGTACATGTATCCATTGTTAAGAACACAGTGGTTACAACCTATGTCTCTACCCAAAGAGTAGAGGAACCAGTAGAAGTTCTAAATTCAAACCCCAATACTGGCAAAAAGTGAAAGGAAAAAAAAAAAAAAAGCACTGTGATGCCAGTGAGTGTTTTTCCAGTTGCTATCTTCCTTGCTGCTAGAGGCAAACTTTAGAGAGTTTGTGCCAGCACTGGTCCTTTTACCTTTGGTTAGCATCTCTGACTGGAACTGTAACAGTTCAATATGTCCTTTATTTCAGAGACCTCCTAGCTTCAGAATTTTGATTTAACCCATAAAGCAGTACACTGCTTTCCTCCCACTGATGGTATTATTTTCTAGAAAGTGTTCTCTGTCTGTATATCTTTCCATCTCTGTCTCCATCTCCCTGCCCCTGTTCTTCTGTCCCTTTACTTCCCTACATTCTTCTTCCCACCCTACATTCTTCTTCCCACCCCCACCCCCGCTGCCCATTTTTACATTTGCAGTCAGAGTGGAGTCCTTCCAACAGAATGTTGTCTGTGCAGCTTTGTCCTGCAAAGAAAACCGAGAAGTTCTCAGTCAGTTGGGGAGTATTTGTAAGGCCCCGTGCGAATGAGGACAGAATACAGCAATTCCTCACTCAATTTCAGAATCAGTCCTGCTCACGAGTACCTCCTCCATGTATTCCTGTAGCATGATCCAGGTGAAACATTTTAAACACTTCATTAGTTCAGACTCCCAGGTACCTGTCCAATTAATACTGCCTTCTGTAAGGATTTACCCAAATTCTGCTTTATAGTCCCAGCAGAAATATTCCCTGGTTAGACACCTTGTTTATTCCGTAAGCAGTGTGTCTAACTAATAATGTGTCTCACTAATAAAAGTGAGGGAAAGAGACATCATTTCTTCATCAAAAGCCTTCACTAAATGTTATGTTCAAACATAACAGTTCACTTAAATTTCATTTTATTTCCATCAACCTTTATATTCTAACTGTACCCTCCATTAGGATTTTACCAACAGGTTTTTGCTTCTTAAAATACTAGGTAAGGGAAGTAGTCCTTGGTCAGCGTTTACATAACTCGTTCAGGTAAAGGAGACAGTTTCTTTAAATAAAGGCTGCTTAAACTGTCCAGCTCCCACAGTCTCACCAGTCTTTACATTTTCATGTTTTTGCAGTCTAATTGTAGCTCATATTATGGCCTTACCAGTGAGTTTTGCCATCACACTGCACGGAGCTGTCACATCAGGGATTCCTTGCAGGGATGAGGGTGTGCTCAGTGGTAGAGTGCTCGGGTAGCATTTCTCAGGACTTGGGTTTGATCTCCAGCACCACAAAAATAAACAAACAAACATAAAAGGAGTCCTGGGGAAATTTTCTTCTCTACCCCCCAGCCATTTTGCTAACTCAAGTACAAAAGACTTTGGGTCTTCCAGGAAAGCATACAGCAAATCTCGTGTCTTCCTGTCTGTCTTTCTTGACAACTTAGTTCTGACTTCATGTCTCCTACTGACATGACCGCATGCAATTTGTCAAGCATTTGACTATAGTCTTGTTTATTCAGGGGAAGGAGGTAACAGTACGGTATTGCCTTTCAAAGCATCTAAAATACAAAAGGGAAATAAACAACGGGAATTTATTTCCCCTGGAGGAACAGAGTGTTTTATGTTAGTAAAGAGTAGTAACTTTCAATGAGTAAGTGTTCCAGAGAAATCTAGCATGTGTCTGAAGAAAAAAGTCAAAACACAAAAAAACGACAAAGCAAAACTTGAAAGCTTACTGTTAATGTTTCTCACTGAAAATTCCACCCAGAAGTTTTTAAGTGAAAAAATTAAATTAGAGCAGAAGACACTGCAGTTTTTCAGCTCCAAATCCACTAATCCCACCCCCAGAACACCTGCTAAGCAAACAATCACTCAGAGTGTCCATATGGATGCGCGAAACTATGTGGGACTGGAAATCAAATTAACTGGATACAGGGTATAAACCACAAGCGTGAGCTGGAAAGTTTCCCAGGACACCACCACCTCTGGTTGTCTGGGACTTGGCACAAGTCAATGCAGAACATGCCAAGAGTCGCCACCAGCCTGAAGGGCATGGGAATTTCTGAACCAAAAACCAGAGCCACCATGTGAGGCGCAATCACTGGGAGTGAGTGTGGGCACAGTGCCATCACCTTGAGCCCCCTGCCACCTGGCTTCAGTCCTTTGGAGAGTAAGTTGGAGTGGGCGCATGGCGCAGCAATGTGGGTTAATGGCAACTGAGTGGAGTGTGATCTAGGAGTGAGGGGGAGCCTGCCCTGTGTGGCAGTTTCCACCAATTGACTGAGGAGAGGGCCTGTAGTCAAAAAGTAGGAGCCAGTCTGTAATAGAGGAAAAAGATACTCCAAACAAATGAAATAAAAATGGGGCTGAGTAGTTGTAATTACATCAAGCAAAATACACTTAAATGACAAACTATAAAAAATTATTAAAAGATCAACCCAACAAGAAGGTATAAAAATTTTAAGTGCATATTTACCTATGGCTAGAAATTTCATTACACAGACCATATCAGATCTAAAGGAAGAGACGGGATTGATCAATAATCATGGAAGACTTTGGTCCCACTTTCATCAACGGGCAGATCTTAGAGATGTAAAGTTAAAAATATATATCATAGTTAAACTATTCTCTGTATCAAATAGACAACAGATATTTATGAGACATTTGGTCCAGCAACTGAAGAATGCATGAGCTTTAGCACATGGAATATTCTAACGAGGAGACCATATAAATGGTCCCAAACCAAATCTCGACACATTCAAAATTATGAAAACCATATCATGTATGTTCTGTGACCATAATGGAATAAAGCTAGAAAGTTTGGTAACTTCAAATTCGTAAAAAGTTAACAACATGCTACCAAACAAATGAGGAGTTACTGAAGGACTAGAAAGAGGAATTTTAAAATGAAGTTGAGAAGTTCTTAAGTCTGTGTGGAAAGAGAACATGTAGTGATTTATGGGATACAGAAAAAGAAGTTCTAAAAGGAAAGTTTACAGCAGTAAGAAATAGAAAATACACATCAAAAAATAGAAAGATGTTAGGCCGAATGCAGTGGCTCACAGTTATCTCTGGAGAGCAGAGATCAGGAGGATGCTGGCTTCAGTCCAGCCGGGGCAAAAAGGTCTTAAAACCCCATCCCAGCCAATAAACTGTGCCTGTCATCCCAGATATGAGAGAGGACATAGTTAGGAGGATTGTGGTCTGGGAAGGGTCGGGAAGTGGTAGAGCACTTATTTACCTACCAAGCACAAGGCCCTGAGTCCAAACACCAGTATCGCATAAAAAAAAAGAAAGAAGGAAAACTTTAAACACCTTCATGATGTGACCAAACCAATCCCAAAATTAGTAGAAGGAAAGAAATAACAAAGATCTGAGTAGAATTAAATAGACTGACAAAAATATTATAAAATGCCAGTGGGCTTTGAAAAGGTAAGGAAAAAAACCTGCAAAGCTATACCTAGATTAAGAAAAATCGAGAGAACAAACAGATTCATGAAAGATTTAAAAGGATACATTTTAATGGATACTATGGAGATAAAAGGCATTATCAGACAGAATTATGAACAGACCATGCTAACCACTAGGAAAGCCTTAGGAAATAAATACCTGGAAATTTAACCACTAAAAATGAAGCATGAAGACACTGAATCAGTGATAAAAATGTCTCTCAGAAACAAAAGTTCAAGGATTGGATCAGTCTGCTAGCAAATTCTATCAACTTTTTAAAGAAGGAACACCACTTCTTCTCAAACTATGCCATAGAATTGAAAAAGAGAAGGCCCTTTCAGACTTGTTCCTACACAGCCAGTGTTACCCTGCTACCAAAAGCAGACAATTACTCAGAAAGAAAACAGACTTGTAGACCAATATCCCTTATGAACTTACATGCAGAAATTCAACCAAATATGATCAAATCATTTTCAGTAAGACATCATACAGATCATATAGCATGACTAAACTGGTTTCATCAGAGACACGCAAGGATGGTTCAATGTATGCAAACTAGTAACAATAATATGTCACATCAACAGAACGAAGGGTAAAGATCCCGATTGGCTCGGCAGTTGTAGAAAATGCTTTGATGATATTCACCATCACTTCATGAAATAGAGAAAATGGAGCAAATTTAGGCATGAAAGTCATGCATCAACATCATAAAGGCTAAACACGACAAACACACAGCCAACACTGTATCAGTCGCGAGAAAGCTGAAGGGGTTACCTTTAAGAGTTGGTACATAATAGTTTCACCACTCTTACTCAAGATAGCAGTGAGTTTTACGTAGAGTAACTAAGCCAGAGAAAGAAACAAAAGGCGTATTAGAAGGAAGGGAGTCAAATTATCCATTCTGGCAGAAGACATGATTCTTACACAGAAAAACCTACAGCCCCCACGAAAAGACTACGAGAACTGGCAGTAATATTCCAGGATACAAAAATTCAACATACAGAAATTAGTGAAGTTTTCATACAGCAGTAATCAAGCTGCTGAGAAAGAACTTGTGAAACAATCCCTTTCACAATAGTTACCAACCCTCTCCCCCCCTTCCTTCCTCCCACATGCCGCACTAGGTTTATATTTACCCAAGAAAGTGAAAGACCTCTGCAATAAAACTTACGAAGCACCCAGGAAAGAAACTGAAGGAAACATAAAAACTTGGAAAGCCTTCCCTTGTTCATGGACTGGACAACTTACTAGTCTTAGAGTGTCCATGCTCTCCAAAGTGATGTAAAAGTTTGATGCATTCTTCATCATTGCTTGGTGAATTTTTGGGAAGAACTGTATGGATATTCCTCAATAAACTGAAAATGAGATGTGGCATGTGATCCAGCTTTACTCCATTACTGGTTCTGTCCTTGGAGGAAAGGAAATCAGTATACCACAAACACACCTCGAGTCAATACTTAAAAACCTGTCTACGATAGTGTAGATACGGACTCAGCCTGGTGCCCATCAGCAGATGAATGGGTGAGGGAAATAACAGGATATATACAAAATGGAATATTATTTAGCCGTGGAATAGAATGAAATCATGTCACTTGTAGAAAAGTGGGTGAAGACGGAGGACCTTATTTTAAGTGAAGTAAGTAAAGCACAGAAAGACACCTATCATGTGCGTAAGTTTTTAAAAGGTAACTTGAATGGAAAATAATAATTAGTAGATGTTGGCAAGGGGTGGAGTGGATACAGAATGACAGGATTAGGTTAGTGCATGCTCTGTCTATTGAAATCTCAGACTGTGAGCCCCATTACTATGTACAAATAATACATGTTAAAATTTTAAGTAAATAAATACATCAGTAAAACTTAAAAATCGAAATCTAAGCATTCTGCCATGCTGATTACCGTCTGGTTAGTTTATTTTGACTGCTAAGTGAGGGCATGTTTTCGTGAAAACTCTTGATGCTTGTTAGCAAACAGTATCATCTGGTCGCTGAAGGGTTAATCATTTATTCTAGTCTTCCTATCTGGCTTTGTTTTTGCCAGTACTTTCAGAAATTCCAAGCAGGCTGCTTATTTTCTTGAGCCTGGATGCACTTTCCACTAGTTCAGCTCTGCACGGCACTCAGGACTAGTTTTCTGGGAGTCTGCTGTTGGTGTGTTGCTACTGGTTACACCAGTAGGGGTGTTTTGGGTCAGGTTTGTCCAAATCTAAAGTTGTTTTTTTGTTCAGAATGAACCAGGAGAGGAGCACTGGGAAGAATCACCATGAATGGGCCAGTCCTGAGATCTGGAGCAGTCCTAAGACCAAAGGGGTCTTACTGGCACTGACTCTCACCTGACCTGCCTCCAACTTGGGACCAGATCAAACCATCCAAGATAAAGTTATTCCCCTGCGATGAGGGACTTTCTTTAGCCAAAATGGTTAATTGGCAAAATCTTTTGAGGAGACTCTTCAGAGACAAACGGTCTGGAGACAAAGCGGGAGAGCTATCACAATCCAGATCGAGTCACCTGTGCCAGACTTCACAAAAGTTAACCAAAGCCAAGAGGATTTTTTAAAAAAGTGTTCTTACCCATGCTTACTACATATCCAAGCTCTAGCAGGCACCCCTCACAGAGGGCAAACTCATACTTTTTTGCCAAGTCCTTCTAGAGAGAAAAGTGACTATTGCTATCAGGCTCCAAATGTATCTTTTAATAGTTTATGCTCATGGAATTATTTTTAAATGGGTTCCACTACACAGTTTATTTAACTGGATACATTTACTCCCTCTGTTTTCTACTTTATAATAATGTTTATAGTTTTAGACTTAAACAAGTACTTTTGATTTAGCTGTCACTCCTCTGTCCCGTTCTGTACTAATTTTATCACTGCCCCCAAAAAACCCAATTCCCTCAAGCTTTAAAAAAAAAAAAAGTTCAAACATAAAAAAATTATAAGAGGTACTTAAACTGCTTTTGCTGAAAAGCACTGACTCCTGACTTGGGTCCACAAATTAACTAAGAATAGGAAAAAACATGGCATCTCTCCACTTTGTATCTGTCTTTGCTCTGAGCAATTCTCTCTGCAATCACCTTGGAAATAATGAAGGACAAAAAATAAAATCTTCATGACAACAGACTCACACTACCCCAATAGTAGATCCTTCTCAGGATGGACCACCCCCCCCCCCAGATACAACCCCAAAACCTCTGCCAATACAAGAACTGAAAATGGTCAGCTGGAACACACCTGATGATCTGTGGCTGGAACTATTTAACCATGCAAACCTTTGTCCCCGCACCCAGTTTTTTGTAGGTTTACTACAGCCCGTGTCTACCCCAAAGATTCCTTGGTTTTACTTCTCAAGCTGATAACCATTGGCCCATGTGTATGTATCTGTATGTCTCACTTTTGTCTCCCAAAGGCTACATTCCTTTACACAGATCAACGCTCAAAACCATGTTGACAGTGTGCTCATACTTCGACAGAAAAATGCTGTTTTATGTCAACCAGTCTGAGGTCATTCGTGATGCCACTGATACCTCAGAAACAGGTGGCCAGTCTCTGGCAACAAGCAGCAGTTGACTGGAAACAGTGACTTGCCTGGGCTAACTGGATGCTGTGAAGACCCTCTGCTGGGACCCCCTTAATTTTTTCTGCATTCTGCTATTGGACCTAGTTTCTTGTATTTGTCCATTGGAAGGTATATATAAAGAAACACTGCAGGGGTGGGCAGTGGTGGCTCATGCCTATAGTCCTA